TTTTTTGTCTATCTGTGTTTTGTTGATTTTTTGGATTAAAGAGAAATCAGATATTTATAGTAAATTATCTGAGAGAGAAAAATATGATAAATGGACACGAAGGCAAGTAGTTCTGTGTCATCACCACGCGAGTATTTTAGCGCGTGTTTTTCACGTAGATGTATTAATTGGATTATTGAAGAACACGCGCGTGGGGAAGATGTAAAAGATGTGAGTTCGAAGGTGTGCAGTGATTGGTTGAGAAGAATAAAGCATAGAGCTTTCTCTGCACTTTTTATGGTTTTTTAAAAAACAATTTAAAAAAGCGAGAGAGAGAGAGATAAGGATCTATTGCAGAAATATCTCAAGATATTTATTGTAAGTGTGTGTATATTTGTTATACAAATAAAATATTGAAAAAGGCATATGGCATACGACTTGCCACGGTGCAATACACGTGTGACGTATTTGTATTATTATTTATTTTATTTTTTTTTGTCACGTGTGACGTATTGTATTATATGATCTCATTTCTCGATTTCTAAATTTGTCTCAACAAAACTTTATGCAAGACCTTTAGAAAAATATCAAGAAAACTTATTAATGTTACTTGTTTACAAATAAAATAGTAGTCCGTTACTATGTTAAGGTATGAGATTGTAGACTCAACTCTATTAACTTAGAGATTCAGTTATACTTATTTGTAACAACAACTAAATTTATTTGTAGTTCGAAAACCAGAGAAACTTACAGGATTGTTATCTTCTTGGAAAAAATCTAAGAAAATTTTGAAGGGAGATGATGATAAAGCTAAAATAATCCGTCAAATTCTATGCTAATCAGTAATCAGAATTTGGTTCCCGGAACCTGGGCACATCAAATCAGATTCCCAAAGCATCACAAGTGAATTCATATTTTAGTTTTCTCTTCGACAAGAGAATCTCCTCTCAGTTTTGTTCTATTATTACAAAAGAACACAACTCTATTGCCACTTTTTGGCCCTTCCCTTTTGATCGTGGCTTCTCTCTAATAATTTTTGTTTTTGTTATACACANAGCGAACAAATTCCGACAGCCAAATCTGCCAAGAGCCATTCAAGAACACGAATGGCCACATGAATTAAGCTATCATTTTAATCCACATATCGCAATTTGATTCATCACTCCTACCTGATGTATTAGTTCCCTAACGCAATAAGCAAAGAGAACCTAATTTATACGGTCACATCATCTTTGAAATGTTATACTATGCAATCACACAATTGT